AATTTTTACTAGATTTTGCTAGATTTAGTTGATCTATCCCTAAAATTGTGACGATTCACTCTATCACTTATTCAAGTAAGGAGACTCCTAATGATGACAATGATTCCTGGGAGGTTTCCAATTTCAAATATTTGCATTACCAATTTGAACTTTCTGGGGCATGTGAAAGAGTTGGGTGGGCAAAGATGTAGAGCAGAATGCTCCTCAAGGTAAAATCAAGCGCTGCTCAAGAAAGCTTAGAGAAAAAACCCTCCATTTTCTAATTTGTTTTCCAATACAATACTAAATACTGCAACTAATCTCTTTAGAGGGAGCGTGATCAAATACGTGAACGTTAGTAAAGATATATAAACCTATATCCCATCCGACGACAATGTGAAGTGGCTAGAGTGAGAAATTTGATTATTTCATTAATATAACACTAGTCCCGAGTAAAGTTCTAGAAAATCTAAAGGAAAAAAAAGACCCTATATTTTGAAAATCGTCCCTATACCATAAATTTGTTGCTCTGATGAGTATTTAGACTTTAAACGATTAAGGGTTTCTTAGTACCAAGGAATTTGCATTTCATGTTCTCGTCCTTTGACGGTGCTTTTTCAAGAGTGATTCTTTGCAAAAGTTTGAAAGTCCTTATTCAGTACTGTGTTCCTAAGTGTGAAACGATTATCTAGTCACCTTTAGGCATCATCACTTATAAAAACATAGCATATAAGTTCCTTATTATCGTGATTGATGAGTTATACCCTACCTCAGTTTGTGGAACCGGAGTGGCAGCTCGCATCGAATGTACTCTTCTCTTTAGGGCAGCTACAGAAGGTGCAGAGAGATTTGGTGAGGATTTGGCTAAATTAAAAAATTCTTGGGGGCTAAATCAATTGTTTAGGGTGCGGATATCATGTGGATAACAATTTAAGCTACTTACTAATTTTCCTTCTATAGGAAAGAGGGGAATCACGTAGAGTTTCAATTGAAATAGGATGCGCTTCAGCGTGTTTGACCGGTTCGCAAACACTTTTTAGCGTCTTTCGTCGTGGTTTCGGCTGTGGTCGTTCGGATTCTTCCACAGAAAGATCGAGCATTGACCTCTAAAATGAAGAAGGATATTAGAGTAAGCTGTTCCCTTTCCGTCTCTCAAGCATTTTCCTTCAATGGTAATTGTAAAATAATTATTCACCATCAAGCTAAGTCTCGGTTTTGGCTTTGGCTTCCATGATTCCTTTTGTGAGGGAGAGAATTGAGCTAGCGATGTGCTTCTTGGATGCAATGGAGGTGGACTGAAAGGTGATAGTTTGAAATAGGAACTTTGTGGTTTGGAAATTTTACCTTATAATAAGAATTAACCCGAAGTATACAAGTATTTGGATTCCTTTATTTTTGCAGAACATTTCGCCATTGTATTAAAAGGCGATCCATCAAAACAAGTACCTTAAATTCTGACGTCGGAATGGTTGAGCACTTCGAGCTGTTGGAGACGGTAGGCGAACAATCCGAAAAGCAGACCTTGTCGAAGGGATTCGATAGGAAACAGCGGAAGGTGATGGGAACTGAAAGAAATGGATTGAGTTAAAGGTATTAAAGCCATAATAGAAACTTCGAAAATTACTTTATGGCACGCTTGCTCTTCATCATCAGTTGAACGGAAAAGGCGTGGATGTCCAGGTATTCTATGGCACACTTGATCTTCGTCATCAGTTGATCGAAAAAGACGCGGTTGTCCTGGCTCTGGAAATACAAGTAAAACATCAGTAGAGCAACATTTTCTCCTTATACTCAATATTGTTGATTTGTGCTTTGTTTGAAAGGAGATCAGATGACTCGTTTGGATTCAACGCACATATCGTGAAATTGTGAACCAAATTTGTGACACTATTGCCGAGAATAAGTCGAAAAAACTGGTCTTCTCTTCTCTCCTTCTACTCAAATCAGATCTAAAGTACATAACCTAAGTGCAGTGAAGGTAAGCCGCGTACAACTTGGCAACTACATACAAAGCTATTTGTGCATTAAATTATACAAACTAATCTTTCCGATAAAAAAACACTTTTCCTTATAATACAAATCACCAAATTGCGAGATAGAGTACATTGAAATGTGCAAATTCTGTATTCATAAAATTCATTAAAGTAGAATTCTTAAGTTTTATTTAGAAATTAGCGTGG